CTCCACTCCAATTTTGGAGTTTCAGATCCTGTGCCCCTCAGATACTGTGCATGCTGGTTGCCACCATCTTAGACTCCCCTAAATTTTAGTTCTTAATATGTTTTGATTTTTTTTTATATCTTTATTGATACTTTTTGTATTTACATCTGGAGCAGTAACAAGGTTGTTGAAAGGCCACGATCATACAAAATCCGTATTCTTGGCAAAGTAAATGGCTTGTCATATTTTGAGTTATTTGGGGACCTGGAATGCCTTTTTACTGTATCAGTCTATGAGATAAGTCCGGATTATTCATGTCCTTATTATTGAAAATGGAATAGTTCTATAGAAGAAAGGAATGTTCTGGCAGATTTGAGTATCAAAATGAGGAAAATATATCTTAGGTCTTGGGAAGGATAGATAGAGAAAATCATGTCTGTCTTGGTCTGGTCTGAAGGAAAATGAAAATTAAGATATTCAGTAGGCTTTGCCGAAGCTCACAATTTTCAACAATGAGACCAGTTGAATATGAGATCTCTCAATACAGTAAATTTAATATGATTTGCCATAATTGATAGATCCTCCAACAAAGAGAGGCAGGAATTTCTATCCCAGTAATAGAATTTGGAGCTATCAGAGATTCAGTTTGTTGCCATTAGGCTGCACAGTTCAACAAGCTTTAAAGATACTGTAAGTTTTCTAGTGTGGAGGGTTGGGCTTTCTTTACTTCTAGTTCCTGGAGCTATACTTCATTCCACATTCCACGTGTGTACAGCAGACAGCTAAGACTGCATGCCTTATACCATGCATAGAAAAGCTGAATTTAACTGAATCATTTGATTCAGGCAAATGAATTATAAAAGTTTTCAAATATTACACAGTGCCTCTAAGGTATATTATGCTTAATATATTTAAAGAGAAACCTTGCAAACTTATTGAATATATCTTAGGTAAGTTCATCTTGCTAATAATTCAAAGTGCAAAATAATGTCCTTTTATCTATTGCAATAGAGGCTCTTTCTAAAAAGCAATGTTATTGGGATGAGAAAGAAAGAGGAGCTACCACAGGGCCTATGACAGTTTCAGACACCAGGATATGTATTTGTGAAAAATGCCTTGATTACTCATTTACATATGTTGCTTTCTCTATTTTTGTGACTCATTCTGACTCTAGAACCAAGACTTTTCTCCTTTTCCCAACTCCCATGATCCTTGGCTCTGAAATCTCTTTAGTTGGTTCTACCCTTCCAGGTAGAACCTGAATAGCCTGGACTTAATTACTTTTCTATTAATTTTTGACAATTTGCAGAGCCATAACCGAACCATTAATAATGTAGATAATACACATTATATTAGAGTTCTCAAAACAAACAAACAAACAAATAAACAAAATCTTTAAGATTAGGAAACCAGAAAGGGAATAGATGATAGAAATAGATAGATAGATAGATAGATAGATAGATAGATAGATAGATAGATAGATAGATAGATA